GTTGGAAGCTGCTTACCAACCACAGAGCTCTTTGGTAATTTGCACTTTTCATAGTTGGAGGTTTGTGGGGTAATACCTATGGCTTTCACAGTAGACCCAGAATACAACAGAATTATATGGATAATATGCTAGAAGAAAGTCTTCAAAAGGTTTGAAAATGTAGAAAATAGAAGATGATCAAGAGGCATGGAAAATAAAATAAGAAAAACTAATATATGTTTGAGTCCTAGAAGTATTAGAAAATGGTACCAAGGTATTATTTGAAAAGTTTATATATTAATCTTTTATATATTTATTTATTTATTATTTATATAAATTTTAGATTTATATTATTTATGTTTATTTTTATATTATTTTTATATTAAATTTATTTATATATTCATATATTATTATATATTAATCTTTTATATTAATCTATAAAAGATTATATATATATTATATAAAAGAAAATGCCCAGGAATAATGATAATTATAATGCATAGATCAATAATACTGGAAGACTAACAAATCCCAACAGAATAAATAAAAATTGATCCACATTCAAAGTATCTTAATAAAATAAAATTAACAGACTTTCAAAATCAAGAGATGTTCTTAAAAGGAAAGCATAGAATAGTTTCATAGCAATCAGTCAAAAGGTCAGTATATTTCTTAACAACAAAAATGAAAATTAGATTATAGATATATTTAACATATTAAAGATCAATTAAAAATCAAGAAATCTATGAAAATAGAAAATATCCTTCAGGGGAGGCCTGGGTGGCTTAGTTGGTTAAGCTTCTGCCTTCAGCTCAGGTCATGATCCCAGGGCCCTGGAATCAAGTCTTGTTGGGCTCCCAGTTCAATGGGGAGTCTGCTTCTCCCTCTCCTGGAGGCAAGAAGTATTCCAAGAATCAATTTACAATGATGAATAAGTTTAATCAACTCCCAGAAAGGTATAACAACTTTAAAATAAGAACCTGAGAGAACTTCAAAACATAAAGCAAAACCCAATGGCATTTAAAAAAAAAAAAAAAAAAGATGTAGGGGGACACATTGTGATAGCAGGTAATTTTACCACACTTTTCTCAATAATAAAAAAAGTTGTAAAAATCAGTAGTGATAAGGAACAAGGTTTCTCAAACATCACCTTGGAAACTTTTAAAAATGCAGACTCTCATTAGTAGGACTGAATTGTGCCTGAGATTCTGCATTTTGTAGGAGCCCCTAGGTAAAGCTGATGGTCCATAGACTGCACTTGAAATAGCAAGGAAATACAAAGATTAACCTTTATGATTAGTAAACTTGACCTAATGAAACAGTAACCAATAGTACATTCAATAAGTAGACTGCACTTGAAATAGCAAGGAAATATAAAGATTAAGTTTTTTGATTAGTAAACTTGACCTATTGAAACATTAATCAGCAGTACATTCAGTAAAGTACATAAGGAATATTTACCAAAAAAACAAAAAAATATATAAAAAACACCCCAAGTCACTGAGCCAAAAGTGAAGACTCAATAATTTTCAGTGGGTTGAAACTGTATATTCCCTGACTAAACCACAAATTCAGCTAGAAAGTAGTAATAAAAAGACAAGTATAAAATAATAAATTCATCATGAAAAATTTTTAAATGTATTTTTTAATAACCCATGGATCAAAGAAGAAACCAAAATATAAATTAGAAAATACATGTAACTGAGTGACATATAACAAATCCGATGAGCTACAAGAGTGATTGACTCAGGGGCGCCTGGGTGGCTCAGTGGGTTAGGCCTCTGCCTTCGGCTTGGGTCACGGTCCCGGGGTCCTGGGATCGAGCCCTGCATCGGGCTCTCTGCTCAGCAGGGAGCCTGCTTCCTCCTCTCTCTCTGCCTGCCTCTCTGCCTACTTGTGGTCTCTGTCAAATAAATAAATAAAATCTTTAACAACAAAAAAAAAAGTGATTGACTAATTAAATAATAGACAATATTTAAAATATGCATTGTATGTGAGGAAATAAAAACATTAATGGGTATTACCTAGATAATAGAACTATGTATAAATTTTGTGTTCTTCATTTTGCTTATATTTACTTGATTCCAGCTCTGCAATGAATATGATCATTAATCAATTTGAACAAATAAAAATTTTATTTTGATATACTAGACCATAAAGAATTAACAGTGAACAAGAAGAATTAGAAGAATATCATAAAACACAAACACATCAAGAATGTAATAAAAAATACTCAATTACTAAAATGCAAAATGAAGTCTATATATATTTTTAAATACTCCCATTTTATTGGAAATCAAACAAATACAAGTTGAAATACTTGGATGCTATTTATAATAATACATGGCCACATAATTTGTTTTTAATAATACCCCATGCTGGAGATTTTATTAAAAAATAGTCCCTTTTGCACATACATAGATAGCAGTTATATATACTTGTTATATACATCTATAGGCAATTTGACAATATATATGAATAACTTTAAAATGAGACAGAGAGGCTGGGAAGATGGCAGGGTAGGAGGATGCTAAGCTTGTCTCCTCCCATGGGTACAACTAGATAACATTCACAATAATGTAAATAACCCAGAAAATGACTTGAAGCCTGGCAGAACAAACTCACAACTAAAGGTAGAAAAAAAAGCACATCATGGAAGGTAGGAAGGGCAGAGACAGGAGTTTGGAACCAAACAGACCATGGCCATCCAAGGCAGGGAGGGAGCCAGTTGTGTGGAGAAGGACAAGAAACAGACTATCATATGGGGAGCTGGCAAGGGGTAGGTGGATCCCCATAACATTTGGCTTTGAAACCAACAGGAGCTGAATCTTGTGAGTTCTTAAAACCAGGGATTTAAGCCTGGAATTTTATTTTAATTTTACTTTTAATTTATTTTAAAAAAAATTTTAAAAGATTTTATTTATTTATTTGAGAGAGCCAGAGCCAGATAGCAGGAGCAGGGTGAGAGGGCAAGAACAGGAAGAAGAGCAGAGGGAGAAAAGACTTCCTGCTGAGCAGGGAGTCGGATGTGGGGATCTGTCCCAGGACTCCAGGATGAAGTATATTTTCTAAAATTCTACTGTAAGCATTAGAGGAGTTGTAAATGATCTGTTATATAAAATTTTAGAGATATGTTTATTGTTCTTCATGATTTTTTAATTTGTTGAGAATACACATACAGAAACATGATTATGTATGCTATCAAGTGTATACATTGATGACTTTTTTTTAAAGATTTTATTTATTTATTTGACAGAGATCACGAGTAGGCAGAGAGGCAGGCAGAGAGAGAGGAGGAAGCAGGCTCCCTGCTGAGCAGAGAGCCCGATGTGGGGCTCGACCCCAGAACCCTGGGACCATGACCACTGAGCCACCCAGGCGCCCCACATTGATAATTTTTAAAATATGTATTCATTCATGTAACCATGCCCCTGATTTAGGTATAGAAGCTTTTCAGCATACTGGAGATTTCTCTTGTTTTCTTTCCCAGTCTGTACCACTGCCCTCTTCTATCCCAAAGAGGTCATCTTCATTCTGACTTCTATCACCAGACTTAGTTTTTTGCCTGTTCTTGAAATCCATATGAATGGAAACATGCATATAGCATATGCTCTTTAGTATCTTGAAGCTTTACATTGTAACTCTTAACAGGTAGAATGATTCTTCCCATTTTAGTCTTCTAAATTTATTCTGATTTAGCAGATAGGAGATTGATAAAATCTGAACAATTGGTGTCTAGGGGCACTAGTAGCAAAATCTTCCCTGAAAAATCCTTAAAAAGCTGAGGAATTGGTGGCATCAAGTTTAGGAAATGGAGTAAGGAGACAACTAAAATAATACTTAGTTCCTAAATTCAATGACATTGGGCAGTTGTTCAGTTCTTACTCAGTCAAAGTCTGTAGTTCATTATCTGGACTGGGGGAAATAGATACTATTGAGAAAAGTGCTATGGTGAGCGCTGTGAATTGTGTAAGACTGATGATTCACAGATCTGTACCCCTGAAGCAAATAATACATTATATGTTAAAAAAAAATTTTTAAAGGAAAAAAAGGAAAAAAAAAAAAGAAAGAAATATAATCAAACATATATTTTGAATGCTGAGGGTCCCCATCTCTTGTTATCTACTTGGCTTCTAGAATTCTGTTAGGGAGACCTGTACTCTCCAGACGTGGAAGGGTAAAGAAGAATCTTTTGCTTATTTTTAATTGTTTTAATTTTCATTTCCTTAATAAAGTTGTATCTTTCAGTTTCGTTTGACTCTACTCCTAAAATCAGGGTTAGTGCATGAGAACCTGGGCTGCTTCCAGGTGGAGTTATCTGTATTTCTTACTGATATTTTGTGGAAATGATAACTTTGTCATTTTCTCGCCATACTTTTCATGTATATAAACTGTAACACCAGTATCAAAAGGGACTTCTATTTTTGGAATGTGTTTGCTACCTACCGGATAGGATATAGAATTATGTGGGTCACAGTTTAGCTCTGGCTTTCTTTGTGGAGATCACATAAGATCAAAATACTTGGCAATTTATTTTTTAGTAAACCTATTGTTTTCCTAAGCTGCAGTTTCCTCCATTTTACCTCTAAGACTGAGAAAGATAAAACAGTAAACTAGGGCTTTAATACTATGCAGTCTTTTCACTTCTACAACCTCTTTTCTTTTTTTCTCTTCCTTTTGTTTTGCCTTCCCATCCCTGTCCTGCCCACCCTCTGAATCAAAGGTGCTTAGCTCTATCACCTGAAATTAAATCAAAAGGTGATTTATTTTAAATAATTTAGGAATCACTTTTGCCTCATTTTTTCCCATTGGAAACATAAATACATCTGGTGAATTTTTTCTCACCATTTACTTCTTGATCCTAAATAGTATTTTTAAAAAGTTGCTTTGGGATAGGACAAATTTTAGGAAAAGATAAATTCCATTAATTTGCATTGTTATGTCAGAAACTAATTTACATAAAATTTTAAACATGATTTTCCTTTCATTGTGAATAAAACCAACCATGTTTTTCCTCTTAGGAGAGAGATAGAGAAACTTGACAATCTATATCATCACTACTCTACAGCGGTACAAAATGTCAATGCTAGTATTGAGGAGAACAAAGAAGTAGTGACTGAAGCACTGAAGGAAACAAAGTCATCAACAAAGGAACTATCTGATTTATCAAAAATGGTGGGTTTTCCAATTTAAAAATAAAAAAATACTGATTTTAGTTTTAAGCCATAGTTGTTAAAACTTACTGTCAGTAATGAAATAACATTTAGACAATTATCTATGTTGGTCTTCTCTTACTACATAACAAATTACCAGAATTTAAGCAGCTTGAAACAATACCCATTTATTATCTCAAGGTTTCTCTGGGTCATATCTTAGCTGGCTCCTGTGCTCTGGGTCTTCTAAAACTGAAATCAAACTATTAGCAACCCTACATTTCTTTCTGGAGACTCTAGGATTAATCTGTTGTCAAGCTCATTTCAGTTTTGGCAGGACTCAGTTTCTGTGCTTTTAGATCTGAAGTCATTGTTTCACTTGTGGCCGTCAGCCTGGGATCATTCTTAGCTTTCAGAGGCTGCTTGCATCCCAGGCTGGTGGTTCCCTTCGTCTTTAAATCAGAAAGAGGGGGTTGAGTCCTCTCCGGCATAGTTTCACTCTGACCTGCTCTTATGACTCATTTTTCCTGCCTTCCTGTTCTCCCACATCTTATTCACTATATTTACTATTCATAGTAAATAGTAAAAGGAATAATAAGATGGTAAAAATAAATATAGTACAAAGCAATAATATACATTCTATACCATTTGGCATTCATTGGAATTAAAACTACATGTTTTTATTGCCACTTTCTATTATATTTCTATCTATATACTCTTTAACTGTGTCTCATTAAATTTTTTAAAAAATTAATCCATAATTAAGAGTGAGGCTAAGCATGTTTTAGTGGCTTTTTGGAGGTCATTTATATTTCCTTTTTTTGTGAAAAAGCTGCTCATGATTTTTCCCCATCTGTTGCATGATTATATTTTGACTTAATTTGTAAGAACTTGTATATTATTGATACTAAATATTTTAAAGTTACATATATTAAAAATATTTTTGTCCAGTCATCTTTCATTTCTTTATGGTAACTTCTGATGAAGAAAAACTTCAGTTTTAATGTAGAAAAGTTATAAATACTTTACTTTGACTTTTGTGCTTTTCTGAATTTAAGAATTATTTTTTCTACATTGAAGTAAAAAAATATTCTCTGATATTTTATTCTAAATGTTTTGAAATTTGGCTTTCCATATTTACATGATGCTTCTAGATGAAATTATGTTTAAAATATTCAAAACTGGGGCGCCTGGGTGGCTCAGTGTGTTAAGCCGCTGCCTTCAGCTCAGGTCATGATCCCAGGTCCTGGGTTCGAGCCCCTCATTGGGCTTTCTGCTCACCAGGGAGCCTGCTTCCTCCTCTCTCTCTGCCTGCCTCTCTGCCTACTTGTGATTTCTCTCTGTCAAATAAATAAATAAATAAATAAATAAATAAATAAATAAATAAAATAAAATATTCAAAATTGATATTTTTCTCCTATCTTTTATTTATAAGTTTAAAAGTAAGAAACTATCTAGAATTTTAGGAATGCATATTTCATTTGCCACATGTGAAGCATAATCAATACGAAATTCATATATGGGTATGGTGTGAAGTTGAGGTTCCAATTACATTTTTCTTCTTAAATAGAAAACAAATCGTTGCAATATAAGTTATTATATTTCTATATTAATATTCAGTGCCATCTCTGTCACATGTGAGGCTTTCATATTTGTGTGTATCTTTTCCATCTTTTTTAAAATTTATTTGGTTTACTTAACCATCTTTACCTCAGCACTTTATGTCTATATTACTAAGCTTCTAATGATTTTTGATTATCTATTGTGGTGAATCCCTCAGTCTTACCTTTCTTTATGAGTTTTAGGCTGTTCTTGACCTTTGTTCTTCTGTATAAATTTCAGTGTTATCTTACTCATTTCCTTCAGAAGTTTTATTGGAATTATGATTGGAATCATATTCATTTATGGATTGTATGATGGAAAAATGAGATCTTTATGATGGGGATACCTAAACATAAACATGATCTATCTGTCCACTTATTTGGGTAGTTTTTCTAAATTGAACCTCAAGCAGTTTCCCTGGAACTTTGTAGAAGGCAAACTCTCTCTGGAAAATCAACCCGAGATTAGTCTTAGGCAAATTAACTCTTATCTCCACTGAATTTTAAAGTTAATTTTTTAAAATAAATTTTTAATGTAATTCTGATTTATTTGTAAATGTAGTCTATATGGTAGGTACTATTTAAAATTCATGAGGATTTAATTTTTGTCCTACTACATGGTAATTTGCATAAATATTTTATTTAGGAAAACTTTTATCTCTGGTAGTGGGATGCAGTCCTAAATAGGTTCATTTTGTAAACTGTGCTAATTCTGTTATTTAAATCTTTTATATTCTGATTTATTTTCTGATCTAAATTACTGAGAACTGTATTAAAATGTTTCAATGTGATAGTGGATTTCTTTCTTATTGTTTCCATTTTTTTGTTGTTGTTGTTTTCTGCTTTATATAATTTGTAACCATGTTTTAGATGAAACTAAGTTTAGAATGTTTAGAATTAAGTTTTTGCTTATGATATACTTGATTTTTACATTTTTAAGCTATAAATTATTAGAAGTTTTGGAATGGATATTTCATTTACTGATTATAAATCATAATCAACATCTTTAACTTCTTCTTGAAGTTTGAGGATCTTATGTTTTTTCTTGATAGGTAGTTTACTTTCCATCATGTTATGCCTATCTTATTTAATAAACCATGTATTAAGATAAGTTTTATTAGTTTACATAATAAATGTTTGATTATATTTTTCCCATTGTAATCTTTTTCACAGTTCTTTTGTTTATTGGACATTCCTAATTATATTATTTTTTCTTGTTACTAAAGTATATCCTTTATAAGCTTTTTTAGTGAGCTAGATTTGATATTTTCAAAATTTTGTTTCCCTGAAAATGTTTTCATTTTGTTCTCTTTCATGCACTATAGGGAATATGTCCCTAACTTAATATGGACATGACTAACACTGCTGCATAGGCAATGTAAAAGAATCCAGAAAAAGGCAAGGCTTAAAACACTAAACTAAAACACAGTGGGCCTAAGTGCCAGGGGGGATGACATAGGAACAATGAGTTGGAAGAAACTGATCTTAAATAGATAGTAATCTAAGTATCTCTTCAATTTGCCCTTGTTTCTTTGACCAGGTTCTCTGTAGTTACCCTTTTCCCTCTAACTCTGTTCTCTAGCTACCTGGAAAAACTGCAAGAGGCCAGAAATGTGCCAAGAGCTTTCTTTATTCTGTTTTGATTTTTTTTTTTTCATAAATACAGTTCTCCCTGACTATAAAGTTGGTATTCAACTTACTCATCCTTCCAGTCCTACCATGGTCAGACTGAATCCTCTCATTTTTATTTATTTATTTATTCATTCATTCATTCATTTAATTTTTCTCAGAGAGAGAGAGCATATGCATGTGCATGTGAGCAGTGAGGGGAGGGGCAGAGGAAGAGGGAGAGAGAGAATCAATCTTAAGCAGGCTCCACACCTTTCTGGAGCCCAGCAGGGTATGGTCTCAGGACCTTGAGATCATGACCTGAGCCAAAATCAAGAATCAGATGCTAAACCAGCTGAGCCACCTAGGCACCCCATGAATCCTCTTCATTTTAAACTTCAGCTTGGAAGGAGTAAAATCATTGGTAAAACAGTCTCCTCACTTTATTCTGTCCGCTTTGGCCTCTAATTGCACTCTCTGTTTACATTCATACCAGTACTTACAACACTGTTGAAATGAGTGATTGCTTGTCTACTTTTTTTTAGACTATAATGTTTTTAAGGGTAGGAGATGCATTGTGATTTTTATTTCTTTTGTGTAACATGCACAGTTTCTGTCCTATATTAGGTACTCAGTGAAATGCCATATTAGGCACTCAAGGAAAGGCATTTCAGTCTTTTTGAATGGGTGAGTTAACCAGTGAATAAATGAAACCAAAGGAGGAAGCGAGCAAAAGGGAGGAGAAGGGGAGGGAGGGGAAGAGAGGGAAGGAAAGAAGGAAAGAAGAAAGGGAAGAAGGAAAGAAGGAAGGAGAAGAAAGATTGGAGGAAGGAAGAAGGAAAGGAAAGAAAAAAGAAGGAATAAATGGAAAAAAAGAAACATCACTGTGAGCTTGGAAAGAATTTTGCGAGGCATGGAGTGTATAGTGCATATTTTCAGAATATCTGTGAAGATTTAAAATGATGCATGTAGCTTTCTTACATTTTATTTCTTTCCAGGGACTACTATAAGCATCAGAGAAATATAGGACAACCAATAAAATTTTTAAAATATTATATAGTGTTGTGAAATAATTATGTTCTCAATTTCCTAATCATGCTGAAATTTGTCATCTTAAAGAATATCATTTTTTTTAAAGATTTTATTTATTTGACAGAGAGAGACACAGTGAGAGGGGGAACACAAGCAGGGGGAATGGGAGAGGGAGAGGCAGGCTGTTTGCTGAACAGGAAGCCTGATTCGGGCCTGGTTCCCAGGACGCCCCAAGAATATCATTGTTGATAAAATATCTTCAAAAATGGAAAATTTGGGGTGCCTGGGTGCCTCAGTGGGTTAAGCCTCTGCCTTTGGCTCAGGTCACGATCTTGGGGTCCTGGGATCGAGCCCCACCTTGGGCTCTCTGCTCAGCGGGGAGCCTGCTTCCCTCTCTCTCTGCCTGCTTCTCTACCTACTTGTGATCTCTCTCCCTGTCAAATAAATAAATAAATAATCTTTTTTAAAAATTGGAAAATTTATTCACTAATCTTACAAACAGTTTTTTATTTCTTTGATCATTTCTAGAATGGCAAGTATGGCCTTTCCTAACAAAAATGTTATTTTTAATGAGATATTATGAATATATTTTATAATGTTAGTAATATTTTTCAATTATAGTAATCATTTGGGGACTATCATATTTTCTGGGGAAGACCAGAACATGATGAAGTTTAGATATATTTTTTCCTGCATTTTGCTCATCATAAAAACCTTTAAGCTAGGTTTTTAAGGAGCACATGTTAAGTACTCAATTAAAAGCAATGTGCATCACTTCCAC